AACCAATGTGCATGGCATATAAAGTTGAGTAGAATAAAAGGGAACCAATTTGTTTTTTAATGCAGAGAAAGAGTTCAATGTGAAATCAGCTGATGACCACTTTAGTCAAAATATGCAGGAAATACATATTTCAAGAGAGAATTGATGAGATGAGGGATTACGGGGGAGAAGAATTGTATGGTAATGATCATCCCAAAGCAAAATCCTTAAAAGCTTTATTTCGTATTGCCTCTCGCTGTTGTCTAACAATTGCTTCAAGAACATCCTCAGTTCTGTTTAGAAAAGATGCAGTCCCTCCTGGTCCCTGCGATGGCTTCATTGACTGCAGCAGGTTGAGATGAGGCTGTTTGGAGGTGCAGTGCATTGGCGCATGGCTCACAGGTGACCTGCTGAAACAGAAGGAACCTGCCCTCCCTCCCCTCCTGTCCTACCTGCATGTCAGCAGCGTGGCAATAGGCATCTCTGCGGCGATAGCAGAGGGAAAACTTACTGCAGACTCTGTTTTTCCACAGAGCCCTGTTTCCTTTACAACCATGGCCTGTTGCCTTTACTTCAACACTCCTTTGCCTCAAACTGAACTTGTGCACTTCATGTCTTAAGGTTACCTGAGTGTAGGGTGTCTATGGTTCATACTGAAGTACTAGAACCTTTGGGCCTGGCAGATTATAGATGTGGATGGTAGAGAGGAAAATAGTCATTTGCTGATGGGCCAAATGAATATAAAATGGTAATTTTGCTGCTGAGACACCTTGTCAGTTTTGTTACAATACTTTTAGGCAGAAAATTATTATGGAAGGTATGCAGAAAAGGGAGCAGGACTAGTTTCTGAGTATTTTCATTTATTAATAAAGATTTCTTACTCTGTAAATCCTGGCACAGCATAGTGGAACTGCTAACTATGGAAACGTATCACTGAGCTGTCTGCCCTGACAAAGGGCAGTATTCATGAGCTGCCCTGCTAAACTGTCACGTTTCCATTGTCACTTGACATTTTTCCTGTAACTCTTGTGGTCTGCTGCTTAATTCCTTTGTCTCTGACAGACACCCATTTAGGAGTCTTGGAAAATACAAAGTGGAGCCAGTTAACATTGAATGATCTTAAAACTAGACTGAACTTTTGTTTTCATCGGGGAGGAAGATGATGCCATCAGCTAATTTGGTTGATCAATAGCCCTGCTTGCAGATAAGGTTTCAAAGCTTGTGGCTAGAAGCTGATTGCACTGGATCCAAAATAAATTTGATCTATTGGCTTCCACAAATGTAGCGTAGCCAGGATGATGGTTCAGTGCAGATGCTTAATTCATTTTTATAATGCTGACAGACTAGACTTGGTGCCTGCTGTGAGGACGCTGTACTACATGAGCCATTCAACAGTACAGCTCTTACTTAAGTTGTTTTTTACAGTAGCATGGAGCTGTCACTCTCTAGCAAATAGCAATCATAAAGATTCATTATTCTGCGCCTGGGAAGCATTGCAGTCTCTGTTGGTGTGTTTAATAGCTTTTTTCATTTAATGCAAACTTTGATCCTCATTTCCTAAAAAGAAAGAGGTGCTGGTGAGAAATGAGACTGATTTGTTAGTGTTGGCTAGATAAATAAGTGTTACTGAAAAATGAGGAAAAGCTCTGTGACTGAAACACAGAGTCAGTATGCAAACCCTGTTTGTGATAAGCATTTGGGAATGCAGTTTTCGAAGGGATCCGGCAATGTTCTTTCTTTATGCAGGATGGGACTGTAGACTTCTGGGAAGATGGACTAAAAGTTAACCGATTCTTTCCTCTCTATTTCAGTGACCATATCATGGCTACAACACCAACAGATGTCATACAGTCACCTGAAACAGGGGAGACAGTTGAAGAATGCACAGGTAAGAAGTTGTTCTTCAAATGTATAACTGATTTGGAAGCCAGAGTTTATTTCCTCTAGGTTATTAAGGGGTCTGTAGTGGCTTGTTTTGCAGGGTTGCCTTGGTTTTCTTAATGTATGAAAAGACTCCTGCATGGCTTTGTTTGCTGGCAATATTATGGAAAGAATTTTTAGGGAGTACAGGAGAGCAAAAAGCTGTTGTAGGATCATCTTTCCTGATTATGGGTTCAGATTTCCAAAAACCTAATTGCTTCGATGCTGATGCACGTTACAGGGCTGGATGCTGAGCACGTTAGCCAGCCCGGGTGCATTAGCTTCTGTCTGAGAGAGGTGGCTGGCGGTATCCCCACTGCAGCTTCCCTTTCTGGTTCACAGAGAACCAGAACACAGACAACTATTTTTTCTACTTGCTCTTTCATCTAGTGGCGTAGGCAAGTGCACTGTCAGCCCCAACAGCAGCAGACATGGGGGAGTGCCGTAATAGACAGGAAAGAAAAATGTCTTACCTATGCGAGAGCGTTGTCTTAATTAAAGCAAATCCCCTTTTCCAGTGACGAGACTATTTTTATTGGAAAAAACATTTAAGGAAAAAACTTGCATATGTGTCCTGAATGCATCTTAGGAAATCAGAAAGCATAGAAGATGCCTAAATGAACCATTTCATTTAAATAATGTTTACTGAGCTCCCAAATCAGATGTTTCCTTTGCTTTAGAGTAGTCATGTTGTTTTTTTGTCATTGTTACAGTCTCAATTTTGCACTGGAGAACATCTTTCTCGTATCCCATAATAGGAAGGAATCATGCAGTGAGCAAAAAAGCATGTGCTAATTTGCTCTGTGTACATTACACAAAGGATGCTGAGCACGTTAGCCAGCCCGGCTGCATTAGCTTCTGTCTGAGAGAGGTGGCTGGCGGTATCCCCACTGCAGCTTCCCTTTCTGGTTCACAGAGAACCAGAACACAGACAACTATTTTTTCTACTTGCTCTTTCATCTAGTGGCGTAGGCAAGTGCACTGTCAGCCCCAACAGCAGCAGACATGGGGGAGTGCCGTAATAGACAGGAAAGAAAAATGTCTTACCTATGCGAGAGCGTTGTCTTAATTAAAGCAAATCCCCTTTTCCAGTGACGAGACTATTTTTATTGGAAAAAACATTTAAGGAAAAAACTTGCATATGTGTCCTGAATGCATCTTAGGAAATCAGAAAGCATAGAAGATGCCTAAATGAACCATTTCATTTAAATAATGTTTACTGAGCTCCCAAATCAGATGTTTCCTTTGCTTTAGAGTAGTCATGTTGTTTTTTTGTCATTGTTACAGTCTCAATTTTGCACTGGAGAACATCTTTCTCGTATCCCATAATAGGAAGGAATCATGCAGTGAGCAAAAAAGCATGTGCTAATTTGCTCTGTGTAAAAAAAAAAGAGAATAAAATAGCTTTAAAAAGCAAGTACCTGCTGTTGTACACTTCTAGTAATAATAAGCAACTCATTTTCATTTTTGGGAAGGCTTTGCTCTTTAAAGGCAGTAGCCTTTAAGTTTAATCTTTGAATTTTAATGCCTTAAAATTTACAATAAGCATTCAAGTATTATAAATCATTATTCATTAGTGGGTGAATAGGCAATAGGCATAGTTGTCTGGGCTATGATTTTCTCTCCTTGTTTTGACTGGTTTTTTGTTAAGCATTTTTTTCCACTTTAGTAAAATCATCTTTTATATTAGTAGTTCATACATCATGGAGCACTTTACCATTTTGTGCTATGGTGGGCTACTTCACAGTGCACTGAAACACAGGCACCTTTATGTGAAAAATGGCATCCTTTTAGCATGCAAAACCAGCGCACAACTGTTTGCAGCAGGAAACGTATATGAACATTGCGGTTCTGAACCGTGTCTGCTGCCAAACACTCGCACAGAGCAGAACCAATCCCACAGTCCCCATCTGGTTGCAACACCAAGTATCTAGTAGTGATTTTATCTTTTTTTGTATAATAATATGGCAACTGCCCATCTTTTATAGCTGCAGGGAATCCTCCTGTTTTCCATTCGTGTGAAGCAGCTGGGCAGCGTGCAGCTGAGGAGCAAGCGCTGCGGGAGGGGATGCCCTGCCCGCCAGCACGGAATTCCTGCTAGGAGAAGGCCCTCGAGCAGCCCACGTGTCCGCGCTGGAGGCCTGTGCTGCCCTGCGGTGCTCGAGTGCTGTCCCATGCCAGCTGCGCTTTGCTCGCAGGTGCTCTGTGCATCCTTGCACTGGCCTCTGTTCTAACGTTAGCACCGCTTTGGGTCTAAACAAATGTTCAGAGTAGTACCTTGAAAATGCTATCTTTTGTGCTAAGATTATGGCTGTTTCTCCTAAGTGTCCTTTGGGACACTTCTGGGTTTGTTTGTTTGTTTTGTGAACATTCCCCTATGAATATTCCCCTATTCCTTGTGGAAATACTAGCATCTGATTAACCTCATCTCTAATGCTAGCACTAGAATACAACTTTTTTTTTGCTGCCCATATCACCAATGGCTGTCCAGAGCACATAATAATGTCCTTGTTTTTCGTTTAGACTGTCTTTAAAGTGAAAAGCAAAGTCTGCCATTTTGTTCTTTAAGTCATTGTAGCAGATGTTGCTGGGTGATCGTTTTGGGGAATTGTTTCAAGAGACTTCTTAATTTTTTTGTGTTACTCATCTAAAATAAACCAGTTCAGCTGTGTCAAGTTTGGTGGGATAATATTGTATATGTTGTCTAATTGCTGATGTGAGTGGCAGGAACTTTAGGGTGGTGTTTCTAAGGGCTCTCTGAAGGACTCTCAATGTACCGATTTTCTCTGAGAGGCCTCCTGGTTGCTCTGTGACCTTCCTCTCTCATCAGCTCTTGCTGGGTGAGGCTCATGGGGCCCTGTGCGTGTCCCAGCAAGCCCAAGGCCGTGTCTCCGCGCGTGCCGCCCGGCGCGGCAGCATCGCCGTGTGCCCGGTGCCCCCGAGGATCTTGGCATCATTGTCCATCTCTCAAAGTGGCCACTGTCCGGAGCACGGTACAGCTGTCCCGATAAGGCCCTTTGGCAGGGATCCCTCCACGCGCGGGGCGTACGTTGAGGCAGAGCATTGCCGACTAAATCATTGCTGGAGAAGACAATAATTGTGTTGAAATAATGCCCTGCTTATGAAAGGATCCTCCAGCTGTGGGCATTTATTACGCCATCTGCCTTAAAAACTTAATTGAACAATGACTTTGGCTCTGATAGGCAGTGATGTTAGTGGTCTGCATAAATGTTTGAGTCAAGCACAAGGGTCTTAGTATAATAGTTTGTTCCCAACCACTCTAAAGGGACCCTTCACTGTAAGAGTCAATAATAAATAAGATGGAGCTTTTGTGTGCTGAGAAATATATTAATAAAAATGTTAAGGCATCTTAGGTTATTAAAAATGAAAAAGTCAACTGTGTTTCTTATGGTTTATTTTTTCTTCTATTTTTAATTCTCTTCCTTTGGAATTCTCTTCCTTTGGACAATGGAAAATCTGAATTCAGAATAATAGGCCTAACGCTGTGTTCTTAGGCCTGCTATGTTTGAAGGTTTCATGTCCTGGAAAGGAGTGTGATAATTTAAGAGCAATTTGCTTCAATGGCCTTGGGGGAGTTGTTGATTTTATTTTGGGATGATGGTTTAATGTGGAAACATCTTTTGGCTTTAGGGTTTATAAATACTTTATACAGAAGTTTGGATCTTTTTGCCAAATCTTGAATATTCTTCAAATGTTGACTCGTTACAGCACTGAGTAAAGACATAAATGGAACTAAACTAAGCTCAGATAAGAGAAGTTAAAGACGTTAAGACATTACTGAAAAAGAATTAAGTATGACTTGCGGGATCACTGAACAGTTGTAGTTAGATTCTATATATAAGATGTATTCTTTTTTTGCTTCTTTTTATTTCCATAAACTGGAACCTAAGCAAGCATCATCACTGTCAGCTTAGTGATAGTGCTCCTTTGCAGATGGCAAATCTATGAATTGCAGCTTCACCTTTCACTGGACTCCAGCATTGAATTATTAACAAGGCAGCTGAGTGGAAGTGAATGGGCTGCTCGAGCCTGTGACTCTCTGTAGGCTTCCTCCAGAGTTTAAGCGACAGTATTCTCCAAGCTAAGTAACATCTCCAGCTTCCGTATATTTTCTTTTCTTTCTTTCTTTTTTTTATTTAATGCAGCAGGAAGGAAAAAATCTAAATTTCAGACTTTCAAGAACTTCTTTGCAAAGAAGAAAAGGAAAGAGCCTCCAGCTCCCAGGGGTGAGAGTAATTTAAAACCCAGCCAGTCCAGCAGCGATGTCAGCATCTCCGTGCTCGACTCCACAGCACTTCATTCACCAAAGGAGGCTGGGTAAGCTGCTGGGGAAGGAAAATAAATAAATAAAAGCAGACCTCTCCCTACAGTAGGATGAAAGCATGAGTTGGCCTCTTAGGAGCAATCTCTGTCCAAGTCTGTGCAAAACAAGCCCTAATGTTGATGAAGGAATTTCAGGAATTTCCTCTTTCTTTGCTACGTGCTTCAAAAGCCAGCATGGAGAGGAGGGGGAAGGCAGCTAAGGGCAGGGGTGATCCAACCTCTTAGTCTGTAAAACTGCAGATAGCCCAGATTGTTTTGATTGGTTTTAATGCTTGAAATCTGTCCTGGCAGGTCTGACCAGCAGCGACTTGGCAGGAAAGCACTGATTGAGCAGTCATAGCACATGTGAAGTCGAATTGCTGTTTTTTCAGCATAAACAGTACCCTCTGTCATGGCTGGGTTAGAGGGAAAGAAAGTGTTTATGGTGTATTCCCAGGGTGAGATTGCTGCTTAATTTAACTTTCTTGTGTAGCCATTTAGGTATGAATAACAACAGAAGGCCTCTAGTTTTGTACCAGGCACTCAGGAGGACTGCACGTATGAGTGGGGTTTGCATCTTGTATGTAGAATTTGCCAAAAGAGCCTTGCAAATCCCAATCTGTGTCCAGAGCGATTCTCAGGTCCCTGAATGATGTTTTTTCAAAAGGCAGGTTTTGAAGTAAGGAGTTAGAGTAATAACAGGTATTACCTTGGGTTGCTAACATTGTTTCACTCGTCACCTTAGCCCATCGAGCTACAGCAGCAACATTTCCATTGCACTTCTCTGCCTGAATCCGAGGTGGGATGACCTTCTTAATATGGTCATGTCTGCTGTCTAGGGTGTGGATATTATTTCTTAGCCAAGAAAACAGGCTGTCATGGAGCAGTATCTTGCAGCTTATAATTTGGCTGCTTTCCAGTCGTCTTGAGCCCCTTCCTGCTCCCTCATGTTAGCTGCCGAGGTGGGTGACTGGTTGGAATAGTTGAGGGCTCAGGTGGTTGTGGAGCTGCAAACTCTCCGAGTGCCCCAGTGCACTGGCCACATCTTAGGGCTCGCAGTGGTTTCTTGGAGGGCATGTTGGGTGGGTATGTCATCCAGACACGTTGCTGCCAAATGTGTTGTATCATCACATAGGGCATTCAGTGTGACTGGACCCTGTGTTTCTGCTGGTGGAGCAGGTGAAAGATGTTTCCTTCTCAAGGGTGCTTGTGTCTCCTTGCCCCACCTTTCACTACCGTCTCTGTTGTGTTTATATAACTGCATCATGGAAATGATCTGGGTTTAGGAAAACAACAGTCTTTTTATTTTGTTTATTAGCGTAACACTGGCAGAGTGAGTGACCACACAACCAGCCCCATGGGGCAAGTGGGAAATTAGAGTGACTCAAGTAACCCAGTCCAGAAAGCTTAGGACCCACTGAGCTCAGCCTTGAGCCCGTAGGAGGCATCTGGCATAAAATGAGCTGCCTGCTCCACAGGCAGTGTGGGAGAGAACTCTTTTTCTTGCCCTTAACCAAATACTTCAAGTCCAATTGCTGTTTATCTCAGCACTATCCTCCAGTGATTATAAATTCTTTCGCAAGACCACAGACCAGGAAGTTAGTAAAACCGTCTTGTTTTTTAGTTAGAGATAGGGTTGAATGGGCTATCCAAAAAATTCCAAGTATATTTGTCCTATTTGAAAACCCAATCATGTCCAGATCCTGTATAGCATGAACATACTTTGTAAATACCTAGGAAGATTGAACAAACTAATCCTTTGGAAGACCTGATCCTGGAAGCCAGTGGAAATATAACTTGTGGAGGTTTGTAGCACTGAGCTTTGTAATTCTTGGCTCGCTGAATACCAAAACCAATCCTAGAACAATGCTGTTGTTTGTTGTTGAGGCAGAAGCACTGGTTTTCTTTCTATTTCTTTAAAACAATGTAATCTTTTCAAAATGTTGATATTCTGAATGCTACCAAATGCTCTTGTAACAGTCTAAGAGATGTGAAGGGAAGCAGAGGGTTGGCAAGGCTGCTTCTTTAGAAGCCTGGATATCATGGGGATGCATTAATCAATGGGACTGGGTAACTGTGAAGGGGAAGGAGGCATTATTTGCTATTGCCTTTTTATCTTCAGAGAGGTATAAGTTTTGAAAATAAATGGAAAAATCTCCTTGGTGACAAAATTAAAGCACATGCCATAGGAATATTTTCTGTATTATTTAGATGGATAAAGAAACAGTCATAGAGGAGGATTTGGCCTTATTTGGTCAAAATCTTATTCCAGCTAA